AGCTTTTTTGTTTCTTTTGTTTTTATTGTTTCAATTTATACAAGCGCCTCAAAAGTTCCTATCGTCTGAACTGTTCCAACTTCCAAAACATTTATAGTTTACAAGTCGAGTTCAAACAACGAAGAAAAAAAAGAAACAGAAAGAAACCTAGGAACCAAAACACTAATCATTTTACGCAACATCAACAGGTGAAAACTTTATAACCTCATGTATAAGCTCGACGAATGAAAAAAGAAACAATAAAAACCTACCCTAAATGAAGCTCTCACGCTTTTTGCTCATTTCTATCCTGAATCAAGAAAGAAAATAGAAAACAAAAGCAATTAAGCTGGGTTCACCTTTCCTTGAGTCAAACCAAGCTTCAGTACCTAAGGAAATTGTAGTTAAAGGAAAAAAAGCATGAAATTGAGTCGCTTACCCCCAAAAGCCTTCGGAGCGCACGTAATATCGTTGGGGCGCGCTCTGCCATGTACCGACGATCGCGGCGATCGCCGAGGTCGCCGCGATCGCCGCTGCTGTCGCGAAGTATGAACGCTGCCTTACGCCAGCGTTTTGAGCGTTTTCGCGGGCAGTCGCTGGAAACGCTCGTGTCTCAAATAGGTCGATATCTATATTTATCGAGGCGCTCAAAACGCCGGCTCTGGCGACAGTTATGCGTTCCCAATCGCTCAGAATGCTGACGCAAGCTATGAACACAGCTGCACACATTCCAGCGTTTTACGAATGATAAGGGGCTTACTCAGCTTGGGGTCTTCTGTTGTTGAAGAAACCAACTCCCTGACCTGCCACACTTTTTTGCAGATTTGATGCTTTGGCGCTGTTGTCCTCTACCTGTCTGCGTCAGAAGGTTTCTCAGCAGGACCATGTGCAAAGTTCAAGTTTTCGCGTAATCTACGGGCGCACACATCAATGTCACAATGGATATGCTACAAATAAGTGATACAAAACGTAGGCTGCCATGACACAGCTGGTTTGACACCATAGTGCTGCGTCGAGTCAACTAGTTACGAATACCGACGATTCAATGCACGATGCGCGCCTCGGATGTGCTGAATCGTACCGTTGAACTTGACGCAGCCAAAAGTCTACAATAGTCTGCCCCCTTGTGGAATCGTATCATTCGGAATTCAACTGATCGAAGTTTGTGTCAGGATCTCAACGTGTCTAGAGTTTCATTGCTTGATCTGACCTCTGAATATGAATATGACATCATCCAAGGGATAACTCGTCGCATGGAGGGCGTTTCCTCGGGCAGTGGGGACAGCGCCTGAAGGATCTCGGAGCGTCTTCATGTAGCATCGGCATGTTGTTGTTCAGAGGGTCAAATATCCATCGGAACCGAATTCTAGTCAAACTTACCCTGAGACAAATTTTTATAAGGACCTTGCCTGAGCTTCAGGACGCACAGCGAACAAGGGCTGCGAGCAGGATTTGAGCCATTCTACTCGTGCGCAAGGTGTAGGAGACTAAAGCTATTCAACATACACGACATGGTGCCGTATAGGGAGACAAAACTCCCTGACTCATTCGAAGTGATACCGACGACATAGCCCTATCGGGGCGCAGAAACTATGAAACATTATCTATCAGGAGTTCAGGATGCCATTGCAGCCATTGTCTTTTTTTAGAGCACGGATCAACTTCCTGGAGTTTTCTTATCGCTAATGACGCACTGCGTCGGCCGGATGAGGCTACGCGTACGTGAACAAATAAAGGCAACACTTACCTGATTGCTAGACGGATACGGTAGAATATTGAATTTGTAAAGATTCGATTGCACATGTGCCAGCATCTGAAAAGCGTAGATTAACGAGAGCTCTCGACCACATTCTCCCTTTCTTTTTTGAATTTTTCGCGAGATTCTTCAGGAATGGACCTCCTGGTTCTTGAATGAAAAACGCTTTTGACGAGAAATTCTGAGCTCAACTGACCTCTTGAAGCCCATTCATAGTTGTGGATTCTGTTGATTCAAAAACAAACATGACGTCATTCCATGAGGTTGAGTAGTTGCAAGCGCATGGTGAACCCTCCACGTTTGGGATGCTCGTGGGCATCGTCGGATCAGATGGATAGTCGGTCGCAGCCTTTGAAGTCGCTCTTGCTATCGTGGACGCCTTTGTCGTTGTCTGCTGCGCAGTTGGACGGGTTATGACTTTCTTCGTGGTCGTTGTGGTCAGATGCTTCTTTTGAGTGGTGAATGCTTTCGTGGAAGAGTGATGCTCCTCACCTGGATCGCCTGAAATTGGTATTCAGACGGAAAAGGCACGGAAAACCTGCTATGCCTCACGTTATCGCCAGTAAAGAGTTGGAGAATATGCGGAAATAGAGCACTGTATCTTAGTAATATTTCCGCATGTGCGTTACGGCACATCTGTTCATGAAATATGTACCTGATTCCCCGCCCAGGTTCTCCTGCTTCCCGATTCTCCAGTGGGTGTAAAATATGAAATCTGCCCTATGTGGCGCGCTCATACTTTGCGGCAGCGTCCACCAGCGACCAATAGCGTCCATCAGCGTTCACGTAAGACGGCGTCGGTGACTAGAAAGCTGTAGATATTGATCTAGCGTCTGCTAGCGCCCATCAGCGACCAGGAACGGCCAGCAACCTGCTATCCTCCCGCCCTCCCCATACTCTCCTAGCTGTCTGCTACCCTCCTATCGCGCCAAACTCTCGACTCCCAACGCTGGTGGACGCTGGTGACGCTGGCAGACGCTAGATCGATATTATACTTTCCTAGTCGCTGACGCTGCCGGACGCTCGGAACGCTGGTGGACGCTTTTGGTTGCTGCCGCAAAGTAGTGAACGCAGTCTGTGAACTTACATTCGTGGGAAATTGCACAACTCCTTTCCGCGATACAGTAGTCCAGATGAGACGAATGGCATATTTCATCTACGTCCACAGCAAAAACCGATACTGCTGGAAAGTCTCGCCATGGACGGGTGTTTCCACCGAGTGCCACCACGGTGATAGGAATTTTCAAGTGTTTTCTGACGTATTCAGCCGCTTCAGAAATCTCGTCCTCGTCCCTAAGTGGCTATAACTTTTCTCCTTCAAAGGTTTCAAAAGCCGATGTCACATACTCTGATTTGGAGAAGAGAATCACGGTCTCATAGTATTCGTATTTGTAACCCACCCGTTGGAGAACACTGCAAAGAATATTATTACCAGAATTCGAGGAACTACTCCACTTTCACGACTCCAAAAAACCAAAGAAATTTTTCATCGATGAAATTCGGCTCACAGATGCTATCCAGTGCCCCTTTCACGAACATGGCATTCATTATTGGCGCCATCACCTCTCTCACCAAAATTGATGAGGACTTTTACAAATGGGGGATTACTTGACATCCTGATGACAAATATCACATTCGCTTTGTCGCTGGCGCTAGTTCGCGCCATATGGCGCCGACCTGGTGCGACCTCTTGTTTCGCCAAAATCGATGAAAACTTGCAGTGTAGGGTAGATAGATACCTTCACTACGAATATGGCCTTCTTTTTCGCAAGCGCAGTTTAGTGGTCTGCTAAGGCTGAGCCTGGGGCGAGGAATGATTCCCTTCCCGCCAGGTTCAGCCTTAGCAGAGCGCAGATGCTTGTAATTCCTTACATTAGCGCCGCGCCAAGAATGAATGTCATATTCTTGTTCGGAACGACATATCACCCCAGAAGCAAGTTTTCA